GAGGCTCCCGAAGGACGGGGATTCAAACCAGGAACCTCCTCACAGAGAGGCTCCCGAAGGACGGGGATTCAAACCAGGAACCTCCTCACAGAGAGACTCCCGAAGGACGGGGATTCAAACCAGGAACCTCCTCACAGAGAGACTCCCGAAGGACGGGGATTCAAACCAGGAACCTCCTCACAGAGAGACTCCCGAAGGACGGGGATTCAAACCAGGAACCTCTTCACAGAGAGACTCCCGAAAGACGGGGATTCAAACCAGGAACCTCCACACAGAGAGACTCCCGAAGGACGGGGATTCAAACCAGGAACCTCCTCACAGAGAGACTCCCGTCCACACTGTGAGGGGACAGAGCTAACCACTGCATGTGCAGTCATTTGGACTGGTCAGCATGGAGACCGCCATCGATGGGATCCTGCAGGATCAAACGGGTGACGTCGCTCAGATATTCAGTCTATGCCCAAAACATAACAGAGTGCACCACCTTGTGGCGCTCTGACTGTTACAAGCACCTCTGCTAACATGCTGACATGTCGGTGGGCTCTCGTGTTCTCTCACCCGACTATGACGATGACAAAGTCGAGCAAGTTCCAGCCGTTCCTGATGTAGGAGCTGGGGTGCATCACCAGACCGTAGGCCAGGATCTTCAGGAAGGTCTCGATGGTGAAGATGATGAGGAAGACGTACTCCACTTGTTCCTGAGAGAGAGAGAGAGGGAGGAGAGAGAGATAGAGGGGGAGAGAGAGAGGGAGAGGGGGGAGAGAGAGAGAGAGAGAGAGAGACAGAGAGAGAGACAGAGAGAGAGAGAGACAGAGAGAGAGAGACAGAGAGAGAGACAGAGAGAGAGAGAGACAGAGAGAGAGAGACAGAGAGACAAACATCACCAAACTGTCATCAACGAACAAACCCTGAAGTCGTAATCTGACGTTCTGTTCTTTGTCGCGCTCTCCAGAGGAAGAACAGATTTAAATGCCGCTTCATTTAACAGCTGAACTACTCATGTTTTATAATAATGCTGTGATATTTAATGATCATGACATCATCAGATTAAATCAACATCAGCGCGATGTTGTTGCTCAGATTATGGCTGTAAATTTGATGCTAATTATTCACTGACACACTTTTTAACAACTTAAAGTGACAGCACAGTGCAGGGAACAGCTGATTTGGTATTTTCATTAAAATGTTCACCAGAAAGAATATGTAACATAATATCATATTACGATATCGATAAACAAATTGGATAGATGACTAAATTGATATTGCTTTGTTAGACAGTAGTGAGGACAGATTATTTATATACTTATTTCTTGGACAGATGTTGTAGTTCATCATCATGTTTTGTGTCGTACTGCAGATTCGGTATCTGTGTTCCAGTTTGTAGATTTCTGTCTCCCGCTGAACATGATGAACTTGGATTGAGCATTTTTTGTGTCTATTGACGTTTAAATGCGATAAATAAATAAATAAAATGTTCATTTTTAGAGACAGTGCTGTTATTTTCTGGATAATCCAACACTTTAATATTTTAATATTTCCTGCAGAACAAACATTTTGGGATAAAACAGGACTGAACACTGCAGGACATTATCATCAGACTGTGTGTGTGTGTGTGTGTGTGTGTGTGTGTGTGTGTGTGTGTGTGTGTGTGTGTGTGTGTGGTGTGTGTGTGTGTGTGTGTGTCTGACCTGGTAAACGTAGATGTGGAGAATTTGTGAGCATTTCAGAGGATTACCAATCCGTCATCATCCCTGCTCAACACACACACACACACACACACAAACATGCTGGTCTGTCTACACTTGTGAGGACTCTATTTCCCACAATGCATTTCCCTGACCTCTGACCTTAAAGTGTTTAGAAACCTTTGACTTGTACCTTCATTTTTTTACGTCTGAACCTCAAACCGCTCTGTGGATGTGAGGAGCTGATCAAACGTCCCTGCTTTGCAGAGCCAAAAACTAAAGCTGGTGCTCACAAAGATGGATAAACAACACACACACACACACACACACACACACACACACACACACACACACACACACTCAGTCACACACACACACACACACACACACACACACACACACACACACACACACACACACACACACACACACACACACACACACACATATACACACACATATACACACGTACACTCTCTTTCCGTGGCCTCAGATGTCACTCTCTTGTGATCTAAATCTGTGTGTTATATGGATGAAACACTGGGACTCAAACCAGCAGCCTCTCTCCCTCTCTCTCTCTATTGCTCACACACACACACACACACACACACACACACACACACACACACACACACACACACACTCAGTCACCTGACTTAATTAAAAAGAAAACTGTGTGTGTTTATGTTTTCTGTCTTTATATAACCTGTGAGGTGCTACCTGAGCTGCCCTCCATCCTGCTCATGCTCAGTGGCGTCCTCCCTGCAGGCGCTCGTCATGATGACTTACGCTCTGTGTATTAAATCAGACAATTAGAGGAATGTGACTAAACACTGACTGGTGTCTGCAGGCAAACATTTAATCCACATTATTTTAAACACCGGTGCACCTGCTGCAGGTCGTTGTTGTGCAATGTTCGCTTACCACAAAGGTTTAGCATGTTAGCATGCTAACATTATGAGTAAACAGAACAATGGACACATTAAAATGTTCTGATAAAAATATCAACTCAGTTATAAACATCCTGAGAATCTGAAGCTTTCTACCTTCGAGAACGAGAAAAAGAGACAGAGAGAGAGAGAGAGAGAGAGAGAGAGAGAGAGAGAGAGAGACAGAGAGAGGGAGCCATTCAAGTAGAAACTTCCTCTGAACTGATTGGATCACAAACCTGTCAATCATCTACTGTACGTATCCACGACCTTTAACCTTTAAAGCAACCACTGACTGACTGAAATAAAGGAAAACCCTCCACAATAAAACTACTTCCTGTTTGCAAAGATTGCTACACGTATGAGAAACACCTGAACCTCACCTGCCTGTTGTGACTCACAAACATTGTTGGGGGTCACATTTTGTGGAGCTGTGTAGTTTGGCGGTAGTGTGTTTGTGTAGTTGTTTTGTTGTAAAATTGTCTGTTTGTGTGTGTAGTTGTTGTGTGTTTGTTCTCACCAGGTCGTGGTTGGTGGAGTTGGAGTCGTCTTCAGGAAACGGTTTAGAAACTCCCAGAGCGACGCAGTTGGCAAAGATGGCTAACAGGATGAAGATATCGAAGGGTCTGAGGGACAGGTTAAGGAAGAACTAAACAAAGTAAACAAACTTCTAAACAAACTAAAGAGAGTTACACAGTTAGACCTGAGGGATCATACATTAAAGGAAGAAGGTGTGACTTTTTGATCCAGTAGATGTCGCCCCTGAGCTCCAGAATGAAACCATAACAAACTTCCTGTTAGGCCACGCCTCCTCCATACTGAAGCCTCCGCTCTCCTCCAGAGACACACCTCCACTCGCATTCACACAAAGGAGTTTAGTACACGTGTCCTGGCCCGTAGCTTCACATTGTTGTGTTAGCATGCTAATGTTTGTGCGCTTTAGTTAGCTTGTAGCTCAACATTAGCTGTGTCCTGCATTGTTGTGTTAGCATGCTAATGTTAGCGCTCTTTAGTTAGCTCGTAGCTTCACATTGTTGTGTTAGCATGCTAATGTTAGCGCTCTTTAGTTAGCTGGTAGCTTCACATTTCATGTAAACTGACACAGAATGAGCGTGATCTAAAAACTCTTACTAACATCCAAATAATCAGTGAGTATGTTCTTCTTCTTCTCTCTAGTTCTTGACTAAAACAGCTTTTATACACAAGGGGAGGAGCCGGCCGTCCCGTCCATGTAAACACGGCTCTGACAACAACACAGCCAGCGGGACTCGAGCTTCTCCCTCATTGTAGACAGTCAGGACTCAGAGACACATTTACACAGGACAGACTTTATGATTTATTTATGTGGAACATGTCGCTCATTCATCCTTTCATTACGTAAGAACAATATTTAAATTAAATCTTTAGCAGAATTAAAGGTTAAGTTAACAGTTTAACAGTTAACAGATTAACAGTTAAGTAAACTGACTAAGAAAGCTGACAGCTGGTTGGTCAGATTAAAGGATACTTCCACTCGACGATAGAGAGAGCGGCTCGTCTGATCGGATTGTTGAGTTTCAGACAGTATAACGCTCTGGGAGCCCTCTGAACCTGATTACTGCCCTGCACCTGAGGGGGAGGAGACATGACATCATCAGCGTGGGAATCACCATGACAACAAAAAACATGAAAATACTTTTTTGTTATTAAGCGTGTTGTCTCACCTATTACTTAATGTGTTTTCTAACCTCTTTCTTAGCGTGTTGTCTCTCCTGTTTCTTAGCGTGTTGTCTCACCTGTTTCTTAACGTGTTTTCTAACCTCTTTCTTAGCGTGTTGTCTCTCCTGTTTCTTAGCGTGTTGTCTCACCTGTTTCTTAGCGTGTTTTCTAACCTCTTTCTTAGCATGTTTTTTAACCTCTTTCATAGCGTGTTGTCTCGCCTGATTCTTAGCGCGTTGTCTCACCTGATTTTTTAGCGTGTTTTCTAACCTCTTTCTTAGCGTATTGTCACACCTGTTTCTTAGCGTGTTGTCTCACCTATTTCTTAGCGTATTGTCACACCTGTTTCTTAGCGTGTTGTCTCACCTGTTTCTTAACGTGTTTTCTAACCTCTTTCTTAGCGTGTTGTCTCACCTCTTTCTTAGCGTGTTGTCTCACCTGTTTCTTAGCGTGTTTTCTAATCTCTTTCTTAGCATGTTTTTTAACCTCTTTCTTAGCGTGTTGTCTCACTTGTGTCTTAACGTGTTTTCTAACCTCTTTCTTAGCGTGTTGTCTCACCTGTTTCTTAGCGTGTTGTCTCACCTGCTTCTTAGCGTGCTGTCTCACCTCTTTCTTAGCATGTTGTCTCACCTGTTTCTTAGCATGTTGTCTCACCTTTTTCTTAGCGTGTTTTCTAATCTCTTTCTTAGCGTGTTGTCTCACCTGTTTCTTAGCGTGTTGTCTCACCTGTTTCTTAGCGTGTTGTCTCACCTGTTTCTTAGTGTGTTTTCTAACCTCTTTCTTAGCACATTGTCTCACCTGTTTCTTAGCATGTTGTCTCACCTGTTTCTTAGCGTGTTTTCTCACCTGTTTCTTAGCGTGTTATCTCACCTATTTCTTAGCATGTTGTCTCACCTATTTCCTAGCATGTTGTCTCACCTGTTTCTTAGCGTGTTTTCTCACCTGTTTCTTAGCATGTTGTCTCACCTGTTTCTTAGCGTGTTGTCTCACCTGTTTCTTAGCGTGTTGTCTCACCTGTTTCTTAGCGTGTTATCTCACCTGTGTCTTAACGTGTTGTCTCACCTGTTTTTTAGCATGTTGTCTCACCTGTTTCTTAGCGTGTTGTCTCACCTCTTAGCGTGTTGTCTCACCTCTTTCTTAGCGTGTTGTCTCACCTCTTTCTTAGCGTGTTGTCTCACCTGTTTCTTAGCATGTTTTTAACCACTTTTTTAGCATGTTTTTTAACCTCTTTCTTAGCATGTTGTCTCACCTGTTTCTTAGCATGTTGTCTCACCTGTTTCTTAGCGTGTTGTCTCACCTCTTTCTTAGCGTGTTGTCTCACCTGTTTCTTAGCGTGTTGTCTCACCTGTTTCTTAGCGTGTTTTCTAACCTCTTTCTTAGCATGTTTTTTAACCTCTTTCTTAGCGTGTTGTCTCACCTGTTTCTTAGCGTGTTTTCTAACCTCTTTCTTAGCATGTTTTTTAACCTCTTTCTTAGCGTGTTGTCTCACCTCTTTCTTATCGTGTTGTCTCACCTCTTTCTTAGCGTGTTGTCTCACCTGTTTCTTAGCGTGTTGTCTCACCTGTTTCTTAGCGTGTTGTCTCACCTCTTTCTTAGCGTGTTGTCTCACCTCTTTCTTAGCGTGTTGTCTCACCTGTTTCTTAGCGTGTTGTCTCACCTGTTTCTTAGCGTGTTGTCTCACCTGTTTCCTAGCGTGTTGGCTCACCTCTTTCTTAGCGTGTTGTCTCGCCTGTTTCCTAGCGTGTTGTCTCACCTGTTTCTTAGCGTGTTTTCTAATCTCTTTCTTAACGTGTTGTCTCGCCTGTTTCTTAGCGTGTTGTCTCACCTCTTTCTTAGCATGTTGTCTCACCTATTTCCTAGCATGTTGTCTCACCTGTTTCTTAGCGTGTTGTGTCACCTCTTTCTTAGCATGTTGTCTCACCTGTTTCTTAGCGTGTTGTCTCACCTCTTTCTTAGCGTGTTGTCTCACCTCTTTCTTAGCGTGTTGTCTCACCTGTTTCTTAGCGTGTTGTCTCACCTGTTTCTTAGCGTGTTGTCTCACCTGTTTCTTAGCGTGTTGTCTCACCTCTTTCTTAGCGTGTTGTCTCACCTCTTTCTTAGCGTGTTGTCTCACCTGTTTCTTAGCGTGTTGTCTCACCTCTTTCTTAGCGTGTTGTCTCACCTCTTTCTTAGCGTGTTGTCTCACCTGTTTCTTAGCGTGTTGTCTCACCTGTTTCTTAGCGTGTTGTCTCACCTCTTTCTTAGCGTGTTGTCTCACCTGTTTCTTAGCGTGTTGTCTCACCTCTTTCTTAGCGTGTTGTCTCACCTCTTTCTTAGCGTGTTGTCTCACCTGTTTCTTAGCGTGTTGTCTCACCTCTTTCTTAGCGTGTTGTCTCACCTGTTTCTTAGCGTGTTGTCTCACCTGTTTCTTAGCGTGTTGTCTCACCTCTTTCTTAGCGTGTTGTCTCACCTGTTTCTTAGCGTGTTGTCTCACCTCTTTCTTAGCGTGTTGTCTCACCTGTTTCTTAGCGTGTTGTCTCATCTCTTTCTTAGCGTGTTGTCTCACCTGTTTCTTAGCGTGTTGTCTCACCTGTTTCTTAGCGTGTTGTCTCACCTGTTTCTTAGCGTGTTGTCTCACCTCTTTCTTAGCGTGTTGTCTCACCTGTTTCTTAGCGTGTTGTCTCACCTCTTTCTTAGCGTGTTGTCTCACCTGTTTCTTAGCGTGTTGTCTCACCTCTTTCTTAGCGTGTTGTCTCACCTGTTTCTTAGCGTGTTGTCTCACCTGTTTCTTAGCGTGTTGTCTCACCTCTTTCTTAGCGTGTTGTCTCATCTGTTTCTTAGCGTGTTGTCTCACCTGTTTCTTAGCATGTTGTCTCACCTGTTTCTTAGCGTGTTGTCTCACCTCTTTCTTAGCGTGTTGTCTCACCTCTTTCTTAGCGTGTTGTCTCACCTGTTTCTTAGCGTGTAGTCCTTTCTTCCTTGTTGTTCCTGTCGAGCTCGTGGTGGAGTGAAGTGTGTCGGTCCTCGTCATCTTCACTGCTCCCTCGTCCTCTCCGTCCAGCTCCTCATCCCACTCTCCGTCTCTGTCGTTTCCTCCTCCTCCTTCTCCTTCTTCTCTGCCATCCCCCTCTCTCCCTCCTCCTCTTCCTCACCCTCACCTCCTCCCTCCTCCCCATCCACAGCGTTGGTGTAGCCATTTCGACCTGCACCTGAAAACAGAAAAGGTCAAATTCATCTTAAACATAGTTCTTGACTGTATTTAATAAATTTCGGCAATACCTTAATTATTTGAAGGGGAGTAGTCCTGTACAACGCTGAAATAAAGGAGCGGTATGTAACTCTGACCCCTAGTGTTTAAAATGGGTACTGCAGTCTAAGTTCTTTAAATTGTAGAGAGCTGTCTCCCCCCCCCCCTCTAGAATGGATGCTCACACAGGTCACCATGTGGTGGACACTGAAGCTTCAGTGTTTATCCAGCTCTGCATGGGTCTGTAAACCTTTCTGTGTTCTAACCTCTCTCCATTTTTCAAAAGCATCTCCAATATTGATCCTAGTTTGAGCACGTTTCTTAAAACCACCTACCTTCTCTGGTCCAAACAAATCCAGAGCATTCAGGAGCAGAATCTAAAGTTAGAAGGAGGACATACTGGCTGCTGCATTGTTGTCAGAGAAGCCAGCACTTCAACATAGCATGTTTCTTTAATGTCTGATCATATAGTAAGATACCTTTATCATTTCACTCTCTACACATCTCACTGATTGGACCTTTATAAGTCGTGAATACTTCATCACTGATTCTGTGTTTTCCATTTAGATAGAGAAGAAGATGACGATGATGATGAAGGGAAATGAGGGAGTAAGAGGAGGAGAGAGGTGACATTTTCCAGAGGAAGTGAAAACAGAAATATTGTAGTGAACAGCTGTGACCTAGATCTGTGTGTGCATGTGTGTGTGTGTGTGTGTGTGTGATGTGGGCCGTGATTTATTTGTTGGTACCTGAGGACCCTGATCACACACATACACACACACAGATAAAGAGATGACATCACAGTAAGATTACATGATGATCCCCTGTCTCTCTCCCTCCTCTCTCTTTACTGATTTCCTAGATTTCCTGTTACCCAGAATGCCTTGCTGCTGTGTCCAGCTGTTTTCAAATTGTGTCTTTTTTTCACACACAGGTGAACAGAGGTGGTCAGGTAGACCACGTCGTGCAGCGTCTCAGTCTCGCTTCCAGTTTTTCCCAGTGGCCACTTGTGGTATTACCTTAACAAATCTGCCTGCTGCACAAACAGTATTCTCCGTTAGATCACCGTTACATAAACAACATATGTAACATCGTTTACAGGACGCCTTTAACTGCAAGCATGGTCAATTATGACCTTTTTTATTTAAAAGTTGTGAAATTGTCTCTTTGCTGATTAAAGGATGTAAAAGTAAACCTCATATGATGGTGGCTGATTGCATTACAGCAGTTCTGTTTTCCCTACAAGCTAGCAGAGGCTACAGAGCAGAACCCAGACGTCTGACACTAGAAATGTTGCATTTAATTAAAATAATCTGTTTGAAGCTTACTCTAAGGTTAAACTGGTTTAGATTGGACTGAGAAGAGAACTTGCCGCCTCATTCTAATGTGGCCGCTAATAGCTTCATAAATTGTGCATCATCTGCTCTCTCGCTATATATCTGCTTTGCCTGAAGGTTTAATTCCAAAGCACATATAGAGCTAATTATATTCAGACACACAAACACGCACAGAAAGTCGTTCTGCTCCGTGTGGTCTGCTCTTGGTTTGTGTCTGAATGTGGATTTGAAGCTGCAGCATCTCCTCTGCACGGAGCTGCGATCTCACGCAGACGGAGGGAACTTCTTACTGATTTGTTGAGTAGTTAAATCTTCACAGAACATCTTACAACGTTTAAAATAAAAATGTTGAAGATTTTCTTTTTTTTAACTCCCATACCCATTCGATGTAACGGCCCAGACTGTCTTCACACGGTCAAAGGACAAATGGCCTGAGGTCGACTCTCTGGCAGCCTCAGACTGATTCAAAGGCAGGGTTGGTAATTTTGGAAAAACTAGCATGATTATGAAAGTCGCTAACTCTCAGCAGACGTTGATTTCCTCACTCCTAACTGCTCATGGCTGTTAGCGCCGGTGTTTGTGAGTTAGATGTTAATTTCCGCTGTTTATCTCCTTACACTGGCTCCCAGTTACTGCTGGCATCAAATTTAAAACTCTGCTGCTCGCTTACAAAACAGCGACAAAAACGTCTCCTCCTCACTTTAACTCTCTGATCCAGGTCTACACTCCTCCCCCCACTACGCTCAGCCAATGAAAGGTGTCTGATCCAACCTTCACAACAGGGTCCTAAGTCTAACTAGACTCTTCTCCTCTGTCGCCCCCCGGTGGTGGAATGAACTTCCAAACTCCATGTGATCTGCAGAGTCCCTCTGCACCTTTAAGAAAAAGCTAAAGACCCAGCTCTTTCATGAATACCTACTAACTTAATGATGATGGTCTCCATATTATTGATGATGATGATGGTAATGACGATGGTTTTTGTTTGATAACGACGACTTATAAGATGGTTTCTATACTGATTAGAGCTCTCAAGAACTGCCCTCAATGTTGTGCTTTGCCTCTGGTCACTTCCTGTCAGCACCTGTGTGTCCAATCAGACTCAAAGCTGATCGTTTGCTCTTACTGACATTGTTCCCTTTTTTCTAGATCCTTGCTTGTGTTGTTCTTACTCTCTGATGTACGTCGCTTTGGATAAAACAGTCTGCTAAGTGAATTGTAGAATTGTAATTTTAGCAATTGTCATCTGCAAAGAAAGAGGCCAACTTTTCCACAAGTTAGTGCATAACGGCTCATTTAAATATGCACAAACAGCACTGCTGCTCGGGGAAGCAGTTTGCTCTGCAGCTCAGTTAGGGGAGCTTTTAACCATTCGCTTTCATGTGAATTAGACAGTGTCTTTTTGACTCATCTGTACACGTTTAACAGGCATAAAAGCCGTGAAATCCGTCATTGAACGAGGCACTGAGGCTGCAGGGCTGAGGCTATCATCAGTCAGCTGATCAGACAGTGAAGTAATTCAACCACAGTGTCTCTGTGTATTTGCTGGAAAAGTCCACCGGGGTCTCTAGTTATAAAGATTTGAACCTGAGTGAGGATGGGTCCTCTGCTGCCCGGGCCATCACATCACATCACAGTGATCATGTGACCAGGACAGGACGATAAAGCTTCCTGAGATGGATTGTCTCTCCCAGGGTTCACTCTAACAGGACGGGATCAGTCTAAACCCTGGACACCATGTGTGGAGGCTGAGACAGAAAAACAACAGAACAATATCTTTTCAGTCAGTGTTTAACTGAACCTAGGGCGGGCAGCATCCCAGCAGGTTTGTCATCCATCCAATGAGAGGCCGATGTTTGGACGGTGCAGGTCACATGACTGTGGGTCACGTTGTTTCTTCCTGTGGAGGAGCTGCTTCACCCGCAGGACGACAAGAACCGACTAATTATCCCTGAATTACCCCGAGTCAACTCACATCATCATGACAACACAGTGTGTGTGTGTGTGTGTGTGTGTGTGTGTGTGTGTGTGTGTGTGTGTGTGTAGTGGGGCATCCCATCACTTGCACACAACCCTGCACTCGCCTTGTTAACTTTCTACTTTTCACTGCCCTGTCTCCAACTCTGTGTGTGTGTGTGTGTGTGTGTGTGTGTGTGTGTGTGTGTGTGTGTGTGTGTGTGTCACGCTGCCCTGCAGCCTGGTCCAGCTGGAAGGTCATCAGTTCATTTAGTGAATGTTTGGGGCAGTTTTTTTCTTCTTCACTGCTCACATCACAGACGCAGAGCAGAGCAGCTCGGAGACAGTTTAAAATGTGAAACTCGATCAATACATCACCGTCGATTTTTATCAACACTGAGGTTGTCAAAAAGTTCAATACTTCTGTACCTACCACGGGTTTTAAAACGAGACAATCTCTGTTATTTGACGGATCGATAGAATCAGAAAGTACTGGAGCTTTTAAAAAAACAGCATCTGTTTTATCAGACAGGAGAGGAATGAAGTTATCAAAAATGGCAAGAAAACTCCTGCACACTGTCAATATTGCACAAATATATCAGCCACGTTTCAGTCCCAACTCCTGCACGCTCTCTAAACTGCAAATATGTTGGCAACGTTTTGGTAGAGAATGAATGCATGAATGAATATTTTATGTTGGTGTCAGGTCATTTACAAGACTCCTCCCACATGGAATTATTCAGACACATTGGCTGAGAGTCAATCAAATATTCCAGCATGTCATTTAGCCAATCTCACAACATCAGCATCACCATGAACCTTCCTCCAAAAACTATTATAACTATTTTTATTTTACAATAACTTAATCATGTATATACTGATATATTATCCTCTCACAATCTATGCACACTGCGTATGTAAACACTGTAAAAACTCTACCTCATATATATTAACAATCTGTTACATAACTATATATTTATTATCATGTTCATCTCAGCATTTTTTTGCACTTCTCACCACTGCACTATTGTCTTATTTAGCCTTGTATATATTAGTGTTTTTTTGCTTATATTATGTTTTATGTTTAACTTTGTACATTGAGAGCACAGTTACTGAAGACAAATTCCGTGTGTGTAAGCATACATGGCCAATAAAGCTGATTCTGATTCTGAAATAATAGAAACACTCCAAGAGGTAAGATATACAACCGATACCAACACAGTCCACACAACATAAGAGGCAATACAAACAAAACAAATGAATCTACCTCAGCTTAGTTCATCCCTTCCCACCTTCCCGTGCTCCGTAAGCAGATACGCAAGGCTTCTATTTTTGCCGGATGCTGGAGCACGGCGCATTAATTTACCACAGAAAAGATCGAGCGTGACGGGAAGTAAGACACCAAAACAACATCAAAACATCTGGTTTATTTTCAGAATAAAACACTCCTTTTTGACAGTTCAGAACAATGACCGTATGTGTGTTTGTTTTTTGTGTTTTTAATGGTTTTATACCGACTATCGTATAATCTCGCACTGTTGAGAGTAAATCTGTAAAATTATTGCAAGAACTCCTTTGTCTTGGCACTCCAGCTGTCCCGCTGTGCTACTCCATGCTGTGCACTGGGTGTTGACGGACGAGGGTGCACGGAGCCGTCATGCACACGTATCTG